CAAGGAACTCAAGGTGACTCAGTGTGACTGGAGAGCAGATGGCACAAGGGCCTATGATGGGAACTTCTGTGGGAGAGGTCCAGTAGATGTTCTGAGCTTATCAGGAAGCCATTGACATGTTTTCAGCCAGAATGTCACGTGGTGCAGATCGAAATTTTGCAATGATTGCTTTTGCTGCTGTGGAGAGAATGTGCTGGAAGGGAAAGGGAATGCCTGTGGGGAGACCAGTCGGGGTGCGTCTGTAACAGCCAGCTGAGAGAAGAAGGGGGTTTGTAATAGGAGACCAGCAGTGAAGAGGCATGCTTACTTGGAACCTGACTTAGTCTGGCAGTGATTAAACCAAGCTCTAGGTTTGGTCTTCGTGGGCTGAGGGTTCTGTAGGAGACAGGAAGAAATCATAGTTTTGGGAAACCTCAGCAGTAGGGGTGATAGATGTGATCAGTAGGCATTCAGGCTTTAAAGTGGTTGAAAGAAGATGGTGGAGGGGTGGGATGAAAGTATGCAAAAGGGGTTATGAGCATGAAGTCAGTTAAACATGGTGCAAACCAAATGCAGACAGTGTTGGGTATGGATTTGTCACTCAGCTCTTTTTATTACAAGTCATGCTTGATGGGCATAATGATCATAAAACATCTATGTCTCTTCAATTTAAAAAAAATACATTTTTTAGCATATGGCAAGTTGCCTAGAGCAACTTCAAATGAGAGCCTTTTCAAGTGAAAGCTGTACTGAGGCCTCCGCTCAGCTAATGAGGAAACTGTACCTGGGGGTCAGAATGGGTCTCAAGTCTGGCGCCAGTGCTTGCTGGAACTGCCCTGGGTGCTGGTGTCTGGTAGACTCCCACACATTCCATCCACCAGTCATATTGCTCCCAGCTCAGACTTCCCCACACGACTGCTGTGAGCCCTGGGGTGAATCTTCTAGCCTTACTGAATCACCTCATGCTTAAAATGGCAGGGACCCAGCTCTTACAGAGATCCAGCTCTTGTCTTTCACCTCTAGTATATTTGATTCCATGCAACAAGGATCCTTCACTCCCCAGATTGCCATGCTGTGCTTGGTATGCCTGAGTATCTTGGATCACTGAAGGCTGTGTTAATTAACGTTCATTGTCATGGTTTCTGGTCTTAATCAGGTCAGAAAGAGGAGTTTATTTCTTATCAATACCACTTTTTGCCCTGAAACGATCTTAAGCCTATTTCTGAAAACTCAGTTCGACCTCATGAAGGCATCTTCTGTCCTGTCTCCCAATTTATTTTAATCAAAAAATTAGTGAATACGCATCTCTTGAGCTCCTGTTGTGTACCCTACATTGTGCTCAGGGCTTTCACCCACCTAATTATTAGATACCCTTATAAAGCCCTTATAAAGCAAAGGTTGTATTCAGCATTATAAGAAAAGGAATCAGGCTCACTGAGGTTAGCTTTCCTAAGGCCACACAGCAAAAAGAAGGGAGCAGAGTAATATCAAGCCTAAGACTTTGATTCTGTGTTTAGTTTTTTCCCTCCTAAATTGGTAAATAAGCTGGTTTTAGATAGCTTATGGACAACTGAGGGAAAAAATTGAATCACATGATGGCAAAGTTTTTTTTCTTTTCAATTCTCTCTCAAACGTCTGAGTTAATCAAGTAGAAAATAAGCTGGTATTAAAGTGGCTTTGGCACGTGTTGAGTATTTGCTAGTTTCTTTACAAAGAGAGCTGGTCTTAGGCTTAGCACCTTCAATACTCAACAATCTCTAGCAAGAACTTAATAAAATTATATTGATTTCATCTTCTATATTTGAAATATCATATTGGTTTTTCTTGTGGTGGTGATATAAAGTTGCCTTGTAAGGGAGAAAATTAAAGAAAAAATAAAGAAAAATGTTGAATAAATTATAGTTCAGGTGTACGGGCATAATAATGATAAAAACATGAATGTGTATTCATCTGAATGAACTGGCAACTGTCCCATTCATTCACATGGCCTCCCTTGCTCTCAGGACACGTGGTACTTCGTGTGATCATTTTGGCGCTAAGTTCTGAATCTGTTCTTTGTTTATTTGTTTTCCTGGGAAAATATAGAAGAAATTATAACGAACACTTCCCCTGAAATTAGGACCACAGAGGCATACTCCTAAAGTTTAAGTTTTATAACTCAAACGAACCCAAGCTAGTAATGGAGTCTTAAAACCTAGGAAAAATATGTAAGTTTATTGCAAAAGATAATATCCCATTTAAAACAGTTTAGAAATTTACAAAACCTTACATTATACATAGTCTTTAAGAAGATGCTCTATAGATGAGCTAGTATTAAGTTCCAAGTATAGTGAATACACATTTTGTTTTTTTAACTACAGAGAAAGCAGCTACATAAACTCCTGCAACTTAAGTTGATGTATCGGTCTTTTTTCTTTTAAATTTTATAAAAGTAATTTTTATTAAATTAATATCTCCCCATAAAACCATATAACCTCAAGTACAGCATTTTTGTAGACTGTCATGGTAGATGTTACATAATATTTTACAAAGAAGCGATTTCCACATGAGTAGATGAGTTTTGGTATATGTATATGTATGGGTTTTTTTAAACACAGAGATGGTCATTTTTGTTGGCAGGAGGGTGTTTACTGAATCCTTTTCCCTCATAACGATTTCAGTGCTCGGTTTCCAGAAGAGACTCTCTTCCCAATTGCAGGTTGGTGGCCCCAGCAATTCTGTGTTGTGCTTAGGTATAGAATCATTATAGTCTCATTTGGTTGTATTTCAAGAAATGTCAACATTTTCCAGCCCCAATTTCATTTAATTTGGTTGAGGGTTTATCTGAGGTCCCTAACTCAACATAAGAGCCTGACAACATGCACTTCTTAATTATCCAAGGTTCGGATTGTGTAAATGACCTCAGACATCTCTTCATTCAAGGCCAACTTTGGCAAATGACTCAGCTCAGCTCTGGGCCATTTTGTTCATTTGATGCTGGACCATGCACAGAGCTTGTCAAGTAGGAAGAGAAGGTGTTTATATCTTCATTCAAGAGTGGAAAAATTGGCCCTGAAAATTTAAGCAATTTACCAAAGGACAGTGGACTAGACTGTTCTGTTGCCTGGGTCTCTTAATTTCCGGAACAGGATTGTTTTCATTTTAGCGTGCTGCCCGAGAATATAACGTAATTTGAAAATTAGTGTAAGCAAAGCAAATTAAGATGGAAGCTCTACTACAAGATGAAATTACATAAGAGATCCCACATGATTTTCTTGATTGGATTATCCTCTCTGCTGTTCTTCTCCATTGTTGGGGCCAACTGCAAGTTGATTGTGTGGATACAGAAAGATCTGTGGCTTTCAGCCAGTGGTAGCATATCTTATTGAAATGTGGCTTCTTAAGTATGACAAGTGCATTTATCTTAATTCCAGCTTAACATTATGGATGCCAGTCTCATTTTGTGGGTTTAAACATTACACTAGAAACAGAACAAGAACATCTTGAATGAGATTCCAAGACTTAAATAGTGCAAGCCCAGATTCCTTGCCAAATTTCCCTCTCGCTCTCACTGAAATAGCTTTGTGCACTGCAGCGCTGTGGCAGGGGAAGGTGCAACTGTCAGGGTGGTTTGCTCATTTTGTCTCAGTTTGCAGTGGGGTATGTACATGCCATGTTCACACAGAATGCTGTGTTCTGCAGAGCCTGACTCAGACACCTGATCTTCAGCAAAGGGGGTTATGAAATGCCTTCTTCATTGAATGTCACGTTGGCCTTTAGGATCATCAATCTAACCACAAGCTGGTAGAGAATTTAATGAGAAGGAATATGAACCTTACAACCCACCCTTCATCCCCAAAGTATGTAGCGATTATTTAATTATATTACATTAGTAGTTCGTTCAGCCATGCTAGTTTGACTGGACCCACATGTATGGGGGTCTCGTCAAAAGAATGAGCCAGACTTTAAAAGAATTCAGACTTTCAGAAGGAAATATCTTTAATACTAAAATGGAAAAATATATAAAGGTATCCTCATCCCCAGTCCTGCTGCTTCTGCAATCAGGTGACCATGTCCTGGTCTCCAGGAAAGGAGATTATGTAGATTAATATACTTTTGAACCTATCTACAAAGCTGTTGCAGGAATGAATGAATGAATGAATGAATGAGAACCAGTGTTGTATCTTACCTTAGTCTTATACATGTTACTGGTAAGATGAAATGGATGAACAAGCTGCTGGATCTCATGGTCTTAAATGTTGCAGGGAAATTAACGTGGAATCTTAAAGTTCAAACCCAACCAGATCCCGCCCATTTGCCAGGCGGTCTCAGGCTGAGAAGCGTGATTGTCTAAGGTGGGCCCTGGAGCAATTACAACTACAGGATAGCCACACCAGCCAGTTCATTATATGCTGCAGTGACCTTACTCTGCCACAGACTGCAAGGCCCACACGGCATGAGATGACAAATTCATGATTTGGGATCAAGGGGCTAATTAAAAATGAAAATGACCCAATCCACCAGGCGATCTTACATTTTTATGTCCTGCCTATTTCTGTCATACTTATGTGTGCCAATATCATAGAAAACTGCCAGTTTATGTATCTATTTTTTTTCTGCTATATCTGCTTCAAACCCTCTTCTATCTTCCTGCTCTGTACATTTCTTTTTTTCTTGCTTCTGGGATGGTGAAATCAGGTTGGGAAGGAAGTGCTTAGCATCACGGAGGTATTGGAAAGTGCGAAGGGGGCCTTGCTCACGGAATCTAGACTCGCAAACCAGGATGTGGCCAGGTTGTGCATGACAGGCAACTAGGCAAGTGGTCACTCCATGGTCCATGAAGTCCTCAGCAGGCGGTGGCCAGCACTCAGGTGAAGCTGGTGGCCAGGCGTCCAGCAACGGCTAACCTAGCCCCGAGTCTGCCCCATTCTGCAGATGGCGTGGCTCACAGGCTGGGGCCTCTGCAGAGATGGCCTGCGTGCGGTGGCCTCCCCGCCTCGGGGAGGTGTGTAGGGAGGGCAGAGCAGATGGGCCCAGCAAGCTCAGATCCACCAGAAGCATTTCTTCTTCACCTTCTTGGTTTTCCTCCTCAAGTCCTGCTTCTCGGGAACCGGTGCTTCCGCTGGGGACTTGGGTGGGGGAGGTGGCTCCTCAGCTGGTTCCGCTTCTTCCAGACTCTGTAGAACTTCATGGAACCTGCCTTCCTGCTGTCGAAAATCATATTCTACACTGAAAAACACAGAGAATAAGGAAGGAAAGTAAATTCTAATCAGCACATACTGATATAGCACCACTGGTGTCCAACCGACATGGAAGAACATGGGCTTTGAAATCTAGTCCCAGAGCTTAAGTACCTGCAGGCTGTGGGACCTTGGGAAAATTCCGCTGCCTCTGTGAATCTCCAATTTCTCACTGACTGAATTGGTACCCATAATGCATTCCTCTCGGGGATGTTCCCAAGTTTAAATGAGGCATGTAATATAGCAGCCTTGTAGTAGGTGTTCAGTAAACATTGCTCCAGTGTGTCTCGCATTTGTTTAATGCTTCTAATTCTTAATTCCTTTTATATGTCATGCATGAAAACTGCCTCATTATGAGATTTAAATAATACAGAATATACAATAAAACTAACAACTCAGTTTTCTTACCTATAAAATGGACATAATATAAGCACCTATCTCAAAGGCTTTCTTTGGAATTAATTATGTATATCGATGAAATGAGAAGGTATAAATGAGGTACTCTGAGCAATGCCTGGCATATAGTGAGCCTTCCATCTGTGTTAGTTAGCTCCTGTTGTTTCTGTTACTGTTGTCACCGTTAACATTACTTTTGTTTTTCTATTTTATTTGTGTGTTTTGGAGTTATTAACGTACAGACTCCGTCGTATGGTCTGTACACTGGTCTGTGAGGTAAACAAGTCATCACACACCAGGGTTCCCAGAGGTCGAAACAGTCGGGGCCATGGGGTGCAGAAGCTCCGGCCTATGCAGTGGGTACTCACGCTCCCCGACCTCAGGGGCTTGGGAATCAGGCTGGCAGGCGCCAGGGACTGTCAGCTGCCTCACTCCTCTGGCTCAGCCTCCCCAGAGACCAGGGAGCGGGCCAGAGAAAACAGATCCCGCAGGCTGTGCGTGGGCTCCCTCTGCCCTCAGTTGTCCACTTTCCTCCCTAGGAGATTTACTTGTGGAGGTGTTCCCAGTGCTGCGACACTTGTCAGAAGACTATTAAGCTTTCGCTGTGTTTGTTACCTGGTGTCATACTAGAGCTCTCAGAAGGCCAGAGATGAGGAGCCAGTGTGGGCGTGTGGAAAGCGGAAGAAATGCAGAGTCACAAAAACAGTGCATTCTCCTTGCTTAGCAAGGAGGAAATGAAATGTTTCATATGGAAGACGAAAGACTTCACGTTGGTTCGTGATGTGGCATGACTGGCTAAAGCCTTTCTGACCAGCGAGGGCTGAAAGGAGCTATCTATCGTTAAAGGGACACTTGTCCTTGTCTACTGTTGCCATGTCACCGCCCAAAGACCCAGGATCAGACAAAGTGCTGCCAAAAAGACAAATCATCATTGTCACACATGACTAACGAAGCCCCCGAATGGTTTTTTGTGACTGGGAACTGAGATGGAAGAAGCTGAAGTGGCCGATGGGGTGTCTGCTTAGGGACATCAGGGAGGGGTGTCTGATTATTTTCTTTCTATATTTTCGATAAGCTTCACACAGATTTTCTTCTCGGCTTACATCCTTTTATTTTGTTTCTCCTCGGTCCCCTCTATAGGGACTCTTGGCTGGGCAACCTGTGCCATCTATGAAACATAGACCGTGATTTTCAAAGCAAAGCTCCACATCTGATTAGATGTGCCATCTTGGGGAAGTCATTTCTCATTTTTAAGCCACAGTGTCCTCTTCTGTAAAAGGAACATGTTACCTACTCATAGGATCTCAGTGAAGTTTAAACGACATAATGCACATGCATCACTCAGAGCTAGGCACCAAGTAGTCAGCCAGTCATCCAACAGTCATCTGTTGAGCATCTGCCATGTGCCAGGCCCTGGGCTAGGTGCTGGGGAAGGAGTGATAGACAGACACACAGACGTTCTCCCTGGCTCCCTGGTGCTGGCAGTCCAGTGGCTCTAGGTCCTCAGTAAATGCTAGCCAACATCAAGAGCTATTGGAGACCTTCTAGGCAAAGCCCAGGATATGCCAGGTCAGTAAGCAGAGGCATCCACAGACTCACACGCACTGAGGCTCCCCCTTATAGGACACACTACCCAGTACTGCACCCCTATTCATCTCTCCTTCTAGGGTGGACTTCTGTCTGCCCTACCTACAACCTCAGTCTTCCCAGTGGAAACTTTAGGAGATGGATTTGGAGCCTGGGAAAGGGTTGTCTCCTGCAACCTCTGCACTGCTTCGAGGAAGAAATTTAACACAGTTAAGTTGCAAACTGATTATCACCCCACCTAGCACTAGTTCAGATAGAGAACATCCGCATTTACAGTTCTAGCTCCTGAAATGGCCTTGCCCTCTCTCTTGAGGCAGAAAAATAACCTTCATCCTAGAGCACCAGGTGGAGCCAAAGAAAGTAAGAACCCCCTGCTCATTCTAAGAATTTTCTTTGCTGTCTAGTGTAAGACATTCCCTCCCTCCCTCCACCCGCCCACGCACCCATCCATTCATCCATCCTACTCTGGCCCTAACACTGCAGGGATACAAAAGTAAGACAGACAGACATAGATACCGCTCTTGTGGGTCTTACGTCCTAATGTGTGAAGCAGATTATTAAACAGTTGCTTTAAAAATATGCTCTGTGTCTATCTCAAATACCCCTACTTTTCAGCTTTTCATTCATACACCTCTGCATATAATATGAACACATAAACCAGCTTCCTTCTTCTCCTTATATGTGACATTTCTCTGACTTCATAATTCAAGCAAACAGCAACAGACCACCTGAGTGTATCAAGACTTACAATAGTGTCCTAATACCAATAACAAAATAATAATGCTCTGGGTGAATCCAGAATGTGTACAGAGCTGGCAGGCTTGTAGAAAGAAAAACCAGGAGACAGAATGTAAACTCTGTGTCGCTGTCACAATTCAAAGTGCAGCACAATATAGAGGATATTGCGAGGGCTCTCGAGTGAAATACTCTTGGGTTTGAACCGAGGCTGCCCCACTTACTGGCTGGGTGACGTTGGGCAAGTTGCTTCCCTTTCTGAGACTCGGATGAAAGTGGGGGTTATAAAGCTATGTCACTGGGTAGTTGCACAGACGGGACAATAACAACAGGTGAAATGTCCTCACGTAGGATATGGTCTCTGCCCACTCCGCTCTTCACTAAGTCTTTTGTCTTCCTATCTTAGTGACCGAAGCCTCACCTCCTCACTCATACCTTAAGCTCTTCAGTAATTGTATACTTTGCCAGCAACATCACTCTTCACCCCTCCCCTCCATGTACATTCAGGAAAGAATACATTCTATGTTTCTATGGCAACACCACAGGGTTCCATTATAATCACTGGGACATAGAGAGTTACCCCCACCCCTCTTGCAACTCCCCATACTGGTCTTGACAATTTAAAGGGGATTGAAAGTGACTTTCTTTTCAAGGCCAGGCAAATAGCATAGTATAGAGAAGTGTGTGCACTTTGGAAAGAAATTGATTAATGTTTTTTAGGCCAAAGCAATTTATTAACATAAAGGAAAATTGTCACTTTCCTTCTTATTCTTCCATTTGACAAACTACTGTTTGGTTTGAGGGAGAGGAGAGGGCGTGTATTTTGTTTTGGTAGCGGCTGCCTTATGAGCTGGGGCGGGGGGCAGTGCTCTCTCTCTCTCATCTCTTTTTCACCTTGAAGCTGGGTGGAGAAAAAGAGATAACCCACCGTAATCAGCAGCCTCTTAAAAAGAATAAATTGCCTACTTGGTGAGAATTCAAGGAGTAGGCTGTTTGTAGATTCTGGGGAACGGCCATCTGCCTTGTGTTTGGTGTCAAGGTGAAATACCAGTTACTTTTCTAACCTCCTCTCCCCTTCTCTCCTTCATCAGAGCCTCCTTGTCCCCCTCCCCCCGCCCCCTTATTATCTTCTGCCATCTGTATTCCATATGGATGAAGAGGAGGGCTGAGTGCTTACTCTGTAGAGCTTCGCCTCACAGTGGGGGCTAACTGTAGCCAAGAAATTGTTACAATATAGAATTCGGGCCTAGAACCATTGAGACAGTGTAGAACATTCAGTCTGTGAGGTTGTTCCTCTGAGAGTGCATGGAATACCTGACACCTGGTTCAGGGGTGCCCGGTTCATTGTCTAGGGAGCCCAAGAGCCCCCCAGCCAAGATGTCTGTGCATGGTGCCACATTGCATTTAGAAAGTGAAAGTAAACCAGGGGTGGAAGAAAGGTTTCAGATTTCTTTCTTGAGGGCACCTCACTAATCTAGCTGACAGATCAATGCTCTAGCCATCATGTGAGGTGAAAGGCAGAAGGATATTTTTCTAGGTAATTGGAAGTGGTGGGAAGCTTAAGTCATGGATTGTCTGGGAGAAGAAAGAGTGAGAAGCAAAACGTAGATAAATACATTAGTACATAAGCAAACCACAGAGCCAGGTTCTGGATGCAGTATCTTGGCTGGGCAAACTGAAGTTGGGTGCACCAAAAAGAGATAAAAGTTTACATCAAAACAAATAAACAATAGAAACCTCTTACTTTATATAGCACTTTCAAAGTGCAAACACTTCAGATCTGTGTTTTCATTTTATCCTCGCGATAGCCCAAGAAGATGGGAAGGTTGTTATTATCCCCATTTAGCTGACAAGTGAGTTGGCAAAGAGAAGTCGCACTATGAGTTATGATCAGAATCTAAGCCTGGTATATAGCACTTTCAAAGTACAAACACTTCAGATCTGTGTTTTCATTTTATCCTCGCGATAGCCCAAGAAGATGGGAAGGTTGTTATTATCCCCATTTAGCTGACAAGTGAGTTGGCAAAGAGAAGTCGCACTATGAGTTATGATCAGAATCTAAGCCTGGTTCCCAGACTCGTAGTCCATCCTTTCTCCTACAGAGGGATCAAACATTTTGGCCCAGGGCCTGGCTGTCACCAGGGTCTTATTCTAAGAAAGAAATAACAAGACAGTACCTAACCATGTTAAGTGAGAACACATGGCAATTTAAATGAATAATAATAACAATTAGAAAGAGGAGGGGGAGGGAGAGAGGAGGAGGAGGAGGAG